GCCGCATGAAACGCCGCGTGCGGCGGCGCGACGAACCGTGAACATTTGAGAGATTGAATTCTGCAACCTCAATTTCCTTGATTTTCATTTTGGCGGGTGAGATCCTTATCGCCAGACTTTTTTCAGAAAATTAACAATCAATAATTCCAAATGTTCTTCTCCATGAACTACGACCTTGATCAAGAGCGAAACGGCAGTTAAACGTCATCGGGAGTATCCCAACGTCTTTGTGGACAGCTCCAACATGACCGTGTCCGTAGAATTTGCCCCCCCCCCCCTTAGTGGCTCATTGTGCGCTGACTCCATGACAGATAAATTTGCAACGACAAATAAACAGTGGCAAATATTACAACAGCTGTCCTTGGTGTAAATCCTGTTGTGCAAATAATTTTTATTATCCCATTGAGTTTTAATAGCCTGGAGCAAGACGGGCTGGAGGGCAATGATCGCAACTGCCAGGCGAGCCGTTGTCTCCAGCATTTCCTGGTGCACCGGCAGGTCCTGGTGGTCCAGGTGGTCCTCGTTGACCTAAACAAAAAAGAAATTGAAAAGAACGGCGACAAAGTGATAGTTGTGTGGAACTCACCAGGTTCTCCAGGGCTTCCAGGTGTTCCATTATCACCGTCTCTTCCAGGTGCTCCAGCTTTTCCGGGTTGTCCGGGAGCTCCAGGGCGTCCAGGAGGTCCAGGTGGGCCAGGTGGGGCAGGTCCTCCAGGCACAAGTTGTCCAGGTTCTCCAGGAGGTCCACGTTGTCCAGGCTGACCGGGTTGTCCAGGAGGTCCTGGTGGTCCGGCAGCACCCTGTGGACCAGGGAGCTCCGTCGTTGCCATTACCACCGGGTTGTCCAGGAGCTCCGTCTTGTCCAGGTGGTCCTGCTGGTCCTGCCATACCCGGTGCAGCTTGGCATGGGCACTGTGGTGGTACCGGCAGAAGTCGGTCGTGTAACTCAGCATCCGGTCCAGGAGGTCCAGGCTCACCAGGTCCGGCTCCTGGTTGTCCATCCTTGCCGTCAGGTCCTGGTTGACCGTCTGGACCAGGTGGACCCTGTTGACATGTACAGCATTGAGCTTCAGCCTGACGAGGGGTACGGAGAAGAATGTCTAGAGGGTCCTCTCCACCTTCTGGAGCGACTTCCACCATTTCACGCCACATGTCTCTTGAACGAGATTTGCAGTACTCGACTTCTCCCTGAAAAGGGTTACTGGCTCCATTCCATAGAATTTTCTATAAAAAGTGAATATTTACCTGAACAGTTGCTTGGAGCGTTTGTACATAGTGGAATACTAATGGGAAGGTGATCAGGCAAGCGGAAACGGCTACCGTTGAGAAAACAACAGCAGCGAACGCCACCCCCCTGAGAGAGGAA